GGAACACCCTGAGTTTAGGTGAATTTATTCTGCCTCATAAATTGCAATTGCCTTCTCCACACAAGCAGGAGGATGAAATGAACAATTTTACCAATTTCTGTGGATCCCAGGAAGGATTCCAGCAGAAATTTGGGGCGTTCCAGCTTTCCTTGAGCTGTGTGCTTCCAGGGAATCAGCGCTGAGAGGCAATGCCCTGGGCATGAAATGAATAATTTTACGAATCTCTGTGGATCCCAGGAAGGATTCCAGCAGGAGTTTGGGGCATTCCAGCTTTCCTGGGCTGTGTGCTTCCAGGGAATCAGCGCTGTGAGGCAATGCCCTGGGCATGAAATGAACAATTTTACCAATCTCTGGTTCCCAGGAAAGATTCCAGCAAAAATTGGGGTGTTCCAGCTTTCCTGGGCTGTGTGCTTCCAGGGAATCAGTGCTCTGAGGCAATGCCCTGGGCATGGAATGAACAATTTTACCAATTTCTGTGGATCCCAGGAAGGATTCCAGCAGGAGTTTGGGGTGTTCCAGCTTTTCCTGAGCTGTGTGTTTCCAGGGAATCAGTATTGTGAGGCAATGCCTTGGGCTAGGAATGAACAATTTTACCAATCTCTGTGGTTCCCAGGAAGGATTCCAGCAGAAGTTTGGGGTGTTCCAGCTTTCCTGGGCTGTGTGCTTCCAGGGAATCAGCGCTGTGAGGCAATGCCCTGGGCTAGGAATGAACAATTTTACCAATTTCTGTGATTCCCAGGAAGGATTCCAGCAGGAGTTTGGGGTGTTCCAGCTTTCCTGGGCTGTGTGCTTCCAGGGAATCAGCGCTCTGAGGCAATGCCCTGGGCTAGGAATGAACAATTTTACCAATCTCTGGTTCCCAGGAAGGGTTCCAGCAGAAGTTTGGGGCATTCCAGCTTTCCTGAGCTGTGTGCTTCCAGGGAATCAGTATTGTGAGGCAATGCCCTGGGCATGAAATGAACAATTTTACCAATTTCTGTGGATCCCAGGAAGGATTCCAGCTGAAATTTGGGGTGTTCCAGCTTTTCTTGGGCTGTGTGCTTCCAGGGAATCAGCACTGTGAGGCAATGCCCTGGGCATGAAATGAACAATTTTACCAATTTCTGTGGTTCCCAGGAAGGATTCCAGCAGGAGTTTGGGGTGTTCCAGCTTTCCTGAGCTGTGTGCTTCCAGGGAATCAGCGCTGTGAGGCAATGCCCTGGGCTAGGAATGAATCCCAGCTCNCACACAAGCAGGAGGATGAAATGAACAATTTTACCAATCTCTGTGGATCCCAGGAAGAATTCCAGCAGGAGTTTGGGGTGTTCCAGCTTTCCTGGGCTGTGTGCTTCCAGGGAATCAGCACTGTGAGGCAATGCCCTGGGCTAGGAATGAACAATTTTACCAATCTCTGTGGATCCCAGGAAGGATTCCAGCAGGAGTTTGGGGTGTTCCAGCTTCCCTGAGCTGTGTGCTTCCAGGGAATCAGCACTGTGAGGCAATGCCCTGGGCATGAAATGAACAATTTTACCAATTTCTGTGGATCCCAGGAAGGATTCCAGCAGGAATTTGGGGTGTTTCAGCTTCCTTGGGCTGTGTGCTTCCAGGGAATCAGCGCTGTGAGGCAATGCCCTGGGCATGAAATGAACAATTTTACCAATCTCTGTGGTTCCCAGGAAGGATTCCAGCAGGAGTTTGGGGTGTTCCAGCTTTCCTGGGCTGTGTGCTTCCAGGGAATCAGTATTGTGAGGCAATGCCCTGGGCTAGGAATGAACAATTTTACCAATTTCTGTGGATCCCAGGAAGGATTCCTGCAGAAGTTTGGGGTGTTCCAGCTTTCCTGGGTTGTGTGCTTCCAGGGAATCAGCGCTGTGAGGCAATGCCCTGGGCTAGGAATGAACAATTTTACCAATTTCTGTGGATCCCAGGAAGGATTCCAGCAGAAGTTTGGGGTGTTCCAGCTTCCTTGGGCTGTGTGCTTCCATGGAAGCAGCACTGTGAGGCAATGCCCTGGGCATGAAATGAACAATTTTACCAATTTCTGTGGATCCCAGGAAGGGTTCCAGCAGAAATTTGGGGTGTTCCAGCTTTCCTGAGCTGTGTGCTTCCAGGGAATCAGCACTGTGAGGCAATGCCCTGGGCTAGGAATGAATCCCAGCTCAGCTGCTGAAAGCAAACAATGCAGGAGGAATCCTCTGAGATTTACATTGGCAGGCCTGAATCCCGTTCCTGTTCTTTGGAAAATCACTGCATGTTAATGAAATAATGAATGAAACTCGCTGCAAATGGCACTGCTGGTGCTGCAGGGAGGATTGGGGGTTTATTGAGGCAGAATAAATTCCAAGTGCAGCCTGCTTTGGGCTGAGAGGATGGAAATGAGAGGGCAGGGAAAGCAGGAGAGCAGGTGTGGAGATGTGCCTGACATAATTATCATTCTGTGGGAAACAGGGAATGGCTTCCCACTGGCAGAGGGCAGGGATGGATGGGATATTGGGAAGGAATTCTTCCCTGGGATGGAATTCCCAGAGCAGCTGTGGCTGCCCCTGGATCCCTGGCAGTGTCCCAGGCCAGGCTGGACAGGGCTTGGAACACTCTGGGATAGTTGAAGGTGTCTTTGTCTTCAATATCCCCTCCANCCCTAAGGGCGGGCGTGAGGGCGGCCATGGCCTCACGGCGGAGCCGCTGCTCGCCCGTCCCGGCTGCAAAATCAAATAATACAAATTTAGCCGACTCTGCTGAGTTTGTCTGTGTGTTTATTTATTTATTTATTTACTTGTAATTCTCTGGGATTGCGTGGTGTATTATAAGGAATGTGGTTTCCTTCTGTGGCAAAATGCATCCCGGACAGAAAGAGCTCTTGCGGATGGAGGTGCCGCGTTCCAAGAAATTAACGTGTGGAAGAATTTTGGAGAACCGAGTGTTGGCTTGTCACCGAAATGTGACCTCTAAAGAGGTTTCTGTGAAAAATCAACCCACTTGGATTTCAGTGGTGTTGAGGAAGTGGTGTTTAGTCTTGTTGAGGAAGAGAAAGCCCCGAGTTCTCATCCAAGGGAGGGTAAAAGGCTGCAGAGGGGCAGGGGACAAGGGATGGAGGGACAGGAGCCAGGGAATCCCAGAGGGCAGGGATGGATGGGACATTGGGAATTGGGAATTCCTGGGCTGGAATTCCCAGATTTGCTGTGGATGCCCTGGATCCCTGGCAGTGCCCAAGGCCAGGCTGGATGTGGAGCTTGGAGCAGCCTGGCACAGTGGAAGGTGTCTCTGTCATAGCAGCGATAGAATGGGATCTTTGAGTCCCTTCCAATCCAACCCATTCCATGATTCTGCACAGATAACTAAAAGAAAGAGTCCATATCCTAGACTGAGAAGAAAAATGAAGTATATTACTTTCAGGTTTCCTTCCAAACTAAGCTGATGGATCTTTTAGTGTTCCCCTCAAAATTGCAAACAGACTTGTTCTTGTAGGCCGAAGGATTTTGTCTGCGTTGCAGCCAAACAGCGCTGCCTGTTCACGAAATTAATCCTCAAAAATTCAAAATATGCCGAATAGTTGGGGCAAGTGTAAACGCTGACTTTGTCACTTTGCAGATGTGGACCCTGCTTTCGGAGGAAAAGCAGACGGAGCTGGATAACAACGGAGCTGTGTGGTGGAACTGGTTGGGCTCTGTGAGCACACTCGAGGAGGT